ACAATAATTGGTGTTATTATTTGACACACAACCTTTTAAAGCTTTAGGAATCCCCACGGATTCCTAGACTACAAATTCATAGAATGATTTTTGCAAGAACATTTTAAAAAATATTTATATATGTATGTATGTACATACATATATGTATTATAAATATATACCTTTTTTGTAATTATGAAATATAAAAGGTCCAAACGAGGACAATTAAATCTATAAAGGTGATCTCTTTTCAAAATCCTCCAATGAGACTCAATGATCATAGTTGTATGCAAAATTCTAATTTCTTTAAATGAAGAACATGCCTAAAGAATCCATTGCTTTGGAGAGTACTACTCACACCAAAGGTAAACCGATACTATAATTAAGTTATTATTATGACAGTACTAATACATTTCAGTAACATATTCGATCCAAATTACTTGTCAATCGTTTACAAATATTTTATCCTCTTTTGGAATTAACATATGCTAATTAAAATGTTTTGTAATAAGGGTTGTTACATGCATGCGAGTTTCTTTATTAGCCAGTTAATAACTAGATTTTGACTTGTCTTGATTTGTTTTACTAAATATTGGTAGGACTGGTTGCCATAAAGGGTCAATTATTGTATATTTTTTATATGCCTCAGTAGCTTTGTACCTTATAGTTTGAACTTTGGATTTTGATGAATTTTTGCTCTACCGCTCGAATAACATGTTATAAACATAACTGCACTTTAAGATTAAGCCATGTAGCCCTTGCTGCATTTATTTGTGATAAATCTTTGTTTGTATAAAAAATTTTTATATTAATTAATTGTTATGATTTTAATGCCATAAACCACTCCATAATTATACTAGTAATATTATGATTTTTGCCTGTTGATATAAATAGATAAGAAAGAGAAAACACTGAACCATCTACAATTGCCATAGCTATGTATAACTCATATTTACACTTGTTAGTATTATACGTTGTATCTACCATAATCTCTATTAATTTATTTAAAGGTAAAATATCAAAAAAAGCAGTTAAAAAAGCAAATCTATAATCTTCAAAAAAAGAATTTTTTGATTTTGTTTTTGAAAAAAGGTTTTTGTAGAATTAAGCTCATCATTACAGTGCCAGTATTCAGCTTGTATAATCGATGACCACTAGTAATAGACTTGTTTAATCATTAAAAGTTCATATCCATTTATATGTTGGTCCTTAATTAACTGATAGATATTCAGTACACTTTGTCTAATACAAGAATTTATATGATTTTTAATTTCTTGAGTTATATTAATCTTTTCTAATCATGGGTGTAAAATCTTATGAGATATATTAACTGTTATGATATTTGAATAAATTTTGACTGTAATTAGGCCTTTACATTTATAATGTTTAATGCATGCCTCAGTATTACATTGTTTTGAAGTATTTGCAATTTTTTTGATATCTACATAACTCTTTTCGAGCCTTATACCAGTATGTTAATGTTGTGAATTAAGAATTTTTACTAATATATATTTTGTGAATATATAGGCATATCCATCACTATCGCTAATTGCATTAACTACTAGATCGGCAATATGTAAATTTTTTTCTTTAATAGTAATATCAGTTAGGATATTTTTATTAAGAGAATCAAAGTTGATATCAAAATGAAGCTGAAAAGAGGCTTGTTCTTCAAGCTCGTCATTCAAATTTTTATACTCCAAAAGCGCATAATAAATATAATCAGTAATATTGGTAAAGTTAATGGTGTTTTCTTTTTCGATTATAAATTTATTAGTTTCTTGTCTCTTGCATTTTTTTTTTGCCTGTAAAGTATTGATACGACAAGCTATACAATGATTTAGATTATCATTTTTGCCAATAAAGTCATTAAGTGGTCAAATGCACTGGCACCTAG